TCGAACTCTCTGCGTTAGCAGAGGAACCCTGACGAGGCTTTGCCGAAGGGCAAGGTTTCGTCCGGGAGGTAGATGGGGCCTGAACCCGTCTAATCGGCTTCAAAAGGCTATTTTTTGGCCGAGCCTACGGGCTCGGGAGAAACCCAATAAAACCGGCCTTGTGCCATATTCGTTTTCTGTGGGTGAAATGATAAATACCGAACGGTGTTGAGCGGTCTCTGACTGCGGACGCCTCCTGTCGAACTCTCTGCATTAGCGAAGAGAGGAACCCGGACGAGGCTTTGCCGAAGGGCAAGGTTTCGTCCGGGGAGGTAGACAGGGCCTGAACCCGTTTAATCGGCTTCAAAAGGCTATTTTTTGGCCGAGCCTACGGGCTCGGGAAACCCACATAAAAACCGGCCTTGTGCCATATTCTTTTCCGTGGGTGAAAAGATAAATACCGAACGGTGTTGAGCGGTCTCCTGCGGACGGTCTCTGCATTAGCAGAGAGGAACCCGGACTTTTGCCGAAGGGCAAGGTTTCGTCCGGGGAGGTAGACGGGGCCTGAACCCGTTTAATCGGCTTCAAAAGGCTATTTTTGGCGAGCCTACGGCTCGGGAAACCCACATAAAAACCGGCCTTGTGCCATATTCTTTCCGTGGGTGAAAAGATAAATACCGAACGGTGTTGAGCGGTCTCTGACTGCGGAACCTCTGTCGAACTCTCTGCATTAGCAGAGAGGAACGGACGAAGCTTTGCCGAAGGGCAAGGTTTCGTCCGGGGAGGTAGACAGGGCCTGAACCCGTTTAATCGGCAAAAAGGCTATTTTTTTCGTCCGGGCCATATTCTTTCCGTGGGAAAAAGATAAATACCGAACGGTGTTGAGCGGTCTCTGAACCCGTCCAGGCGACGAGCTTTGCCGAAGGGCAAGGTTTCGTCCGGGGAGGTAGATGGGGCCTGAACCCGTTTAATCGGCCGAGCCTACGGGCTCGGGGAAACCCACATAAAACCGGCCTTGTGCCATATTCGGTCCTCGTGGGTGGAACGATAAATACCGGAACGGTGTTGAGCGGTCTTTGAATGCGCACGCCTTCTGTCGAACTCTCTGCGTTGCTGGAGAGGAACCCGGACGAGGCTTTGCCGAAGGGCAAAGTTTCGTCCGGGGAGGTAGACAGGGCCTGAACCCCGTCAGGCGGGTTCAAAGGCTATATTTTGGCCGAGCCTCGGGAATACCCACATAAAACCCGTCTATTCGGTCCTTGGAACGATAAAACTGAACTATTTTTTGGCCGAGCCTACAGGCTCGGAGAAACCCAAAGTTTCGTCAATAAAACCGGCTAATCGGCCATATTTTTTTGGCCCCGTGGGTGAAATTATAAATACCGAATGGTGTTGACCGAATGGGTGAGCGGTCTTTGACTGCGCACGCCTTCTGTCGAACTCTCTGCGTTAGCAGAGAGGAACCCGGACGAGGCTTTGCTTTGTGAAATGATAAATACCGAATGGTGTTGAGCGCGTCAGTCGAGATTCGGACATTTGAAGTACCAACCATCACAACTAGATTTGCTGCGTCATTGACTCTTATTTTCCAAGTTCCTAATTTAGGACGACTTATTAGAAATACGAGCCTCCACTGTGAAAATACTCCACAACACACTGACATCTCATTTTAACAGATACATTTACCAACATTACACAAAAATATCTTATACTAAAGAATAAATTTATTCAAAAAAATCGCCATTGGCTTCAACCACGGCCTCCAGACGACTTCGGAATCACCTGCAACTCTTCTGGGAGGTTTCTTTGTTTAAGTTCATGAATGTTGCCATAATCCTTGCCTTCAGTTCATCTTCGGTGTTACAAGGAGTTTTGTTGGTCTCTCACTCAACGGCACCCCACACATAATAATCAAGGGGGTTGTGGTCTGGGGAGTTAGGTGGCCAGGTGTAAGGGGTGACGTGGTCGCAGAAATTGTCTGACCGTCATGACTGGGTTTTCCTACTTGTATGGCATGGGGGCAGAGTCCTGTTGCCAGACATAGAGGCTTCCAGCAGCCACCCTCTTGTCCACTACTCTTCAAGGCACTTGATGTAGGCTTCCGTATTGAATCTGAGTCCCTGTGAGAAGATGAATTGAGGCATAACATCGCCATGACTCGTGATCACTCCAAACACCTGCATAATCACCATTAGACTCATCCAACTCTTTCCGAATTCACTGCACTGTACTCAGACTGACGGCCAAACACTCTGAAATATTCAAATTAGAGCTTACGGTGCGAATGACAAGAAGTTCAGTATGCCGTTTACAAATTTCAGACTGGGGCTATTGCATAATTTTGCTTTTTTTTCTGACAGACGGTGCCCAACTGACCCTACTATACTGTACAGTCGACAAAATAAAATAAAAAACAAACAACGCGCATGCGCGAAACTAAAAATATAAAATGGCGACAATTTACCCATCGCACTCTGTAAATCCATAATTTCTCTAGTAAATTATTAGTAATGAATTTACATTATACATATAATAATCAGTATTAATTTCTATAATTCCTGACCAATCAAACATTATTATAATGAAAAATATCTAAAATGTATTGCGACCGTAAATCATTGAAAGTGCATTTACATTAAACATATAACAATCAGGATATATCAATTCCTGACCACTGACAATCCCTTTCTTACAGATTTTAATGCATTTATATAGTAAAATAATTTAAAATGTCTTCCCGTAGTAAAAACCTCAGTCACTTCCTTCTTGATTTTCACTGCAAGAAGGTACGGAAAAGATCACATTCGAACCCACTCTTCCAAAATAGAACGATAATCAAATATGAAATATCATAGGGGTGCGGTCTTTGTGAGACTGAGAGCTTTTCGGCACATTCTCGTGCGGAATCATTAAATAGAAGGTTCTCTGACATCAGTTTAATAAATCATAGTTGTGGCCTCGCGTGCTGCATAAACAAAATTTAATAATGCTATGAATATTATAGCAACCTGTCACCAGCTGAACTTGCATAGCTACAACATATAGACTCAAGAATAATGCTATAAGTCATAATTTAAGAAAAAATAAATTAGATGCTGGTCTTCAATCTGTCTTATCTTAAACTTAGCTCGCCACACAGGCCAAAACGTTTTACAGTATTCTTTGCAAAAAAAACAACACATAGAGGGGAGTTCATTAGAACAGCTGCCATGAATATATTTATAGAAAAGGCAGATGGAAGCAACCTTACGACTGTGGGAAAGTGACTGAGGCCAAGATGTCAGGTAAGGGCCGATAACATTGCAGATTCCTCTTTGGCTTTTATCAAGAATCTCTAAATATATAGCTGGAGCACCAGACCAGCAATATTCAAAGCAAGGACGAATGATAGAATTATAAATATGTAAGATAGATTCTGGAGAGAAGAATTGTCTAACATGACATAATGAAGCAACATTTTTAGCTACAGACTTAGCAGTTGATTCAATATACTCTTTCCACTTCGTGGCAGCTGAAAATATTAGTCTACGAAGGCTCAATGAAAAAACCGAATGATTGATTGAGGCATTGTGGTAACACCTAAAGTATCACAGAGAATGAGTCAAGTAGTCTGAACAGCTAGTGGAATAATGACTCATCTCAAAATTATAGAAGGTAGGCATAGAATAGATTGACTGAAACATTGTGGTAACAACAAAAGCAATACAAAGAATGAGTTTAATAGTCTGAAGAACTCTTGGAATGATAATGACTTTTTTCAGAATTATAGAAGATAGACATAGAATAGATTGACTGAAACATTTTGGTAACAACAAAAGCAACACAAAGAATGAGTTCAATAGTCTGAAGAACTCTTGGAATGATAATGACTCTTCTCAAAATTATAGAAGGTAGACATAGAATGGATTGACTGAAACATTGTGGTAACAACAAAAGCAATACAAAGAATGAGTTCAATAATCTGAAGAACTCTTAGAATGATAATGACTATTCTCAAAATGATAGAAGGTAGACATAGAATGGATTGACTGAAACATTTTGGTAATAACAAAAGCAACACAAAGAATGAGCTTAATAGTCTGAAGAACTCTTGGAATGATAATGACTCTTCTCAAAATGATAGAAGGTAGGCATAGAATGGATTGACTGAAACATTTTGGTAATAACAAAAGCAACACAAAGAATGAGTTCAATAGTCTGAAGAACTCTTAGAATGATAATGACTCTTCTCAAAATGATAGAAGGTAGACATAGAATGGATTGACTGAAACATTGTGGTAACAACAAAAGCAATACAAAGAATTAGTTCAATAATCTGAACAATTCTTAGAATATCTTTAACTACAAGAATATGTTGAATATTCTGAACTACTTGGAATGAGAATAATCGTGATATAATATTCTTCACTTGTAGATGATTTTTAGTGGTTTCGATCTTCACTGGGCGCTCCACTTTTGTGTCCTTGTACCAAAACTAAGCAACATTTAGTAAATAGCATCTTTTGGAATGAAAGTGACTCTATTCAAAATTAAAGAAGCCGTCTAAAAAAAAAAAAAATAGAATGAGATCAATAGTCCGAACAACACTTACATTGAGACTGACTCGTTTCAAAATCTTTTCAAGATCGTATCTTAAACAATATGATTGCGATCAATAATCCGATCCGGAAAATTCTTGGGGAAAAAAAAAAAACTTAGTGGCGCTAAAAATATGCATTCAAATGAGTTTGTTTCTGTTGAGGTTTTTGTTCTATTTTTTTATTTTTTAATTTTTTATTTTTATGGAATTTTTTTTTAAACTGTTGCGACTATTTATTTTGTTTTGACTTACCTATTATTTGCTTATACATTTATCTTGTGTTCTGAAAGACTTTATTCAAAGAAAATTGACATTAGTTAAACTTGCGTATTTATCTTTTATTATTATTATTATTATTTTATTTAATTTTCTACTTTTTTTCTTAATTCATTATTTTTATTTTGTTGTTGTTTTTTTTTTAACTTTATCCAAAGTTTAAATTATGTTCTCTTTGGAGTTTCTTTCCGCCATTTTTTCTCAGTCGGTTCCTTTTCCGTTATTTTTTTTTTTTTTTTTTGTCGCCTTCATTCATAATTCGTTTTTTCATTCTGGTTTCTTTTCTATCTTTTCCCTTAGTTGTCCTTCCTTGGTTCATTTTGTTCTTTTCTCCTTCTTTTTCTTAATTCTTCCGCTGTTAATCTTATTCGTTCTTTATTCTTCTCTTTTTTTTCTTTCTTCCTTTTTTTTCTTTTTTCTCTTTCTTTCTTCTTTCTTTTTTCTTTATTTCCTTTCTTCTTCTTTTTCTTTTGTTCCTGTTTTCCTTCTTTCCTTTCTTTCTTTTTCTCTTTCTTTTTTATTTCTTTCATTTTTCTTTATTTCCTTTCTTTCTTTTTCTCTTTCTTTTATTTCTTTCTTTTTCCTTTCTTATTTTCTTTTTCTTTCTTTCTTTCCTTTCCTTGTTCCCTTCCTTTCTTTCTTTCTTTCTTTCCTTTCTCTCTTTCTTTCCTTTCTTTCTTTACTTCCTCTCTTTCTTCTTTTCTCTTTCTTTTCTTCCTGCTTTCCTTCTTTCTTTACTTTTTTTTTCTTTCTTTTATCACTGTCTGTCTTTCTCTCACACTCTTTTGTCATTTTCTTTTTCCTTCTATTTCCCTTCCTCGCTTTTTTTTGTCTGCCTTCTAGATTTTCCCTCTCTCATCTACTTCTTTCTTTCTTTCTTTCTTTCTTTCATATTCTCGTCTTTCTTTTCTTTCTGGCTTTCCTTTCTTTCTTTTTCTCTTTCTTTTCTTTTTCTTTTCTTTCTTTTTCTTTATTTCCTTTCTTTATTTTCTTTTTCTTTCTTCCCCTTCTCCTTCTATCTTTCTTTCCGGATTTCCTTCTTTCTTCCGTTTATTTCTTCCTCCTTTCTTTTTTTTTCTTTCTTTACTTTCTTCTTTTCTTTTTCGTTCTTTCCCGCTTTCCTTCTTCCCTTCCTTTCTTTCTTTCTTTCTTTCTTTCTTTTCTTTTCTTTCTTTCTTTCTTTACTTTCTCTCTTTCTTCTTTTATCTTTCTTTCCTTCCTGCTTTCCTTCTTTCTTTGCTTTTTTTTTTCTTTCTTTATCTCTGTCCGTCTTTCTCTCACACTCTTCTGTCATTTTCTTTTTCCTTCTATTTCCCTTCCTCGCTTTTTTATTTTTTGTCTGCCTTCTAGATTTTCCCTCTCTCATCTACTTCTTTCTTTTCTTTCTTTCTTTCTTTTTCTTATTCTCGTCTTTTCTTTTTCTTCTTTCTTTCTTTCCTTTCTTTTTCCTTTCTTTCTTTTTTTTTTCTTTTTTTTTCTTTATTTCCTTTCTTATTTTCTTTTCTTTCTTTCCCCTTCTCCTTCTATCTTTCTTTCCGGATTTCCTTCTTTCTTCAGTTTATTTCTTCCTCCTTTCTTTTTTTTCTTTCTTTACTTTCTTCTTTTCTTTTTTCTTTCTTTCTCGCTTTCCTTCTTCCCTTCCTTTCTTTCTTTCTTTCTTTATTTCCTTTCTTTCTTTCTTTACTTTCCCTCTTTCTTCTTTTCTCTTTCTTTCCTTCCTGCTTTCCTTCTTTCTTTACTTTTTTTCTTTCTTTATCACTGTCTGTCTTTCTCTCACACTCTTTTGTCATTTTCTTTTTCCTTCTATTTCCCTTCCTCGCTTTTTTTGTCTGCCTTCTAGATTTTCCCTCTCTCATCTACTTCTTTCTTTCTTTCTTTCTTTCTTATTCTCGTCTTTCTTTCCTTTCTTTCTTTCCTTTCTTTCTTTTTCTCTTTCTTTCTTTTCTTTCTTTCTTTTTTCTTTATTTCCTTTCTTATTTTCTTTTTCTTTCTTTCCCGCTTCTCCTTCTATCTTTCTTTCCGGATTTCCTTCTTTCTTCGGTTTATTTCTTCCTCCTTTCTTTTTTTTTCTTTCTTTACTTTCTTCTTTTCTTTTTTTTCTTTCCCGCTTTCCTTCTTCCCGCCATTTCTTTTCTTTCTTTCTTTTTTCTTTACTTTCTTTCTCTTTCTTTTCTCTTTCTTTTCCTTCCTCCTTTCCTTCTTTTCTTTTTTTTTTTGTTTCTTTATCTCTGTCCGTCTTTCTCTCAAACTCTTCTGTCATTTTCTTTTTCCTTCTATTTCCCTTCCTCGCTTTTTATTTTTTGTCTGCCTTCTAGATTTTCCCTCTCTCATCTACTTCTTTCTTTCTTTCTTTTTTTCTTATTCTCTTCTTTCTTTTCTTTCTTTTCTTTCTTTCTTTCTAATTTTCTTTATCTCTGCCTTTCTCTCGTTCATTCTTTTGTTATTCTTTTTTTTTCTCCTTCCTTCTTTATTCTGTCACTTCTTTTAGATTTTTCTACACTCTTCTCCAATTTCTTTCTTTCTTATTTTAGTAGCGTTTTCTTCTTTCTTCATTTGTCCCTTCCTTCTTACACACTATTGTCTCTCTCTCTCTCTCTCTCTCTCTCTCTCTCTCTCTCTCTCTGTCCCATACTTTTCTTCTGTCGGTTGCTTTTATTCTTGCTTCTTTTTTCTTTGTCTGCCTCTGGTTTTTTTCTTCTTATTTTTTCCTTCATTCTCGTTATTCTTTTTCTCGCTTTCATATCTTTCTACTTTCTCTTCCTTTTGTTCTTTATTCTTTCTCTCTCTCTCTCTCCCTCTCTATGTCTATCTATCTATCTATCTATCTATCTATCTTCACTGTCTGCTTTCCGTCGTTTTCTGCTTACTTCTAATTTTCTTAACTTTTTCTTTCTCTTTATTCTTCATTTCTTTCCTCCTTTCTTTATATTATTTTCCTTTCTTCCATATCTGTTTTATTGAGTTGTATTCTTTTTCTTATTTGCTTTCCTGATTTCTCTCCGTATAATGTGCTCGCTATCGGTATCTACATTCTTCTTCTTTTTCTTCTTTCCTTTTCGTCCTTGTTTCTTTTCTTTCGTTTTCTACTTCCTTCTACTTTTCTTTCTTTTTTCTCTTGTTCTTTCTTCTCCTCTTTTCTTTTTCTTTTTTTTTTTTTTCTTTTCTTCCTTCTGCTTTCATCACTTTCTTCCTTCTTCATTTCTTTCCTTCTTTCTTTTTTCCCCTTGTCTACTTTCTATCATTCTCTTCTTCCTTCCTTCTTCCTTCCTTCTCTTTATTCTTTCTTTTTCTCTCTCTCTGTCTGCTTCCCTATCATTTTCTACTTTTCTTTTCTTTTCTTTTCTTTTTTTTTTTTCTTCTTTCTTTTCTGCTTTCTATCCTTTCTTCTTCCTTCCATTTCTTTCCTTCTTTCTTTTTCTCCCTTGTCTGCTTTTCGTTCTCTTCTTCCTTCCTTCTTCTTTCCTTCTTTTATTCTTTCTTTTTCTCTCCTCTTTCTTTTCATTTTCTTTTCTTTTCTTTTCTTTTCTTTTTCTTCTTCTTTTCTTTCTTTCTTCCTTCTTCTTTTCTTTCTTCTTTCTACATTTCTTTCCTTCTTTCTTTTTTCTCCTTGTCTGCTTCTATCGTTCTCTTCTTCCTTCGCCTTCTTCCTTCCTTCTCTTTCTTTCTTTTTCTTCTCCTCTGTCTGCTTCCTATCATTTTCTTTTTCTTTTCTTTTCTTTTCTTTTCTTCTTTTCTTTCCTTCTTTCTTCCTTCACTGCTTTCTATCGCTTTCTTCTTCCTTTTACGTTTCTTTCCTTCTTTCTTTTTTTCTTCCTTGTCTCTTTCTATCGTTCTCTTCTTCCTTCGCCTTCTTCCTTCCTTCTCTTTATTCTTTCTTTTTTCTCTCTCCTCTGTCTTTTTTCTTTCTTTTCTTTTCTTTCTTATTTTTTTTTCTTTCTTTTCTTTTTCTTTTCTTTTCTTTTCTTTTCTTTTTCCTTTTTTCTTCCTTCACTGCTTTCTATCGCTTTTCTTCTTCCTTCTACGTTTCTTTTCCTTCTTTCTTTTTTTCTCCCTTGTCTGCTTTTTTCTATCGTTCTCTCTTCCTTCGCCTTCTTCCTTCCTTCTCTTTATTCTTTTTTTTTCTCTCTCCTCTGTCTCCTTCGTTTTCTACCTTCTTTTTTCTTTTTTTTTTTTTTTTTTCTTTTTCTTTTCTTTCTTTTTTTTTCTTTCCTTCTTTCTTCCTTCACTGCTTTCTATCGCTTTCTTCTTCCTTCTACCTTTTTTCTTTTCCTTCTTTCTTTTTCCTTGTCTGCTTTTCTATCGTTCTCTTCTTCTTTCGCCTTCTTCCTTCCTTCTCTTTATTCTTTTTTTTTTCTCTCCTCTGTCTGCTTCCTATCGTTTTTTTCTTTTTTCTTTTTTTTTTCTTTTCTTTTTCTTTTCTTTCCTTCTTTCTTCCTTCACTGCTTTCTATCGCTTTCTTCTTCCTTCTACGTTTCTTTCCTTCTTTCTTTTTCTCCCTTGTCTGCTTTCTATCGTTCTCTTCTTCCTTCGCCTTCTTCCTTCCTTCTCTTTATTCTTTCTTTTTCTCTCTCCTCTGTCTGCTTCCTATCGTTTTCTACTTTCTTTTTCTTTTCTTTTCTTTTCTTTTCTTTTCTTTCCTTCTTTCTTCCTTCACTGCTTTCTATCGCTTTCTTCTTCCTTTTACGTTTCTTTCCTTCTTTCTTTTTCTCCCTTGTCTGCTTTCTATCGTTCTCTTCTTCCTTCGCCTTCTTCCTTCCTTCTCTTTATTCTTTCTTTTTCTCTCTCCTCTGTCTGCTTCCTATTTTTTCTACTTTTTCTTTTCTTTTCTTTTCTTTTCTTTTTTCTTTCCTTCTTTTTCTTCCTTCACTGCTTTCTATTTCTTTTCGTTTCTTTTCCTTTTACGTTTCTCCCTTTCCTTCTTTCTTTTTCTCCTTGTCTGCTTTCTATCTTTTCTCTTCTTCTTCTTTCGCCTTCTTCCTTCCTTCTCTTTTTTCTTTCTTTTTTTCTCTCTTTCTCTCTGCTTCCTATCGTTTTTCTTTCTTTTCTTTTTTTTTCTTTTTCTTTTCTCTTTCTTCTTTTCTTTCCTTCTTTCTTCCTTCACTTTCTTTCCTCCTTTCTTCTTCATTTTCTACGTTTCTTTCCTTTTCTTTTTCTTCTTTTCTTCCTTGTCTCCTTTCTATCGTTTTCTTCTTCCTTCGCATTTCTTCCTTCCTTTCTCTTTATTCTTTCTTTTTCTCTCTCCTCTGTCTGCTTCCTATCGTTTTCTACTTTCTTTTTCTTTTCTTTTCTTTTTTTTTCTTTTCTTTCCTTCTTTCTTCCTTCACTGCTTTCTATCGCTTTCTTCTTCCTTCTACGTTTCTTTCCTTCTTTCTTTTTCTCCCTTGTCTGCTTTCTATCGTTCTCTTCTTCCTTCGCCTTCTTCCTTCCTTCTCTTTATTCTTTCTTTTTCTCTCTCCTCTGTCTGCTTCCTATCGTTTTCTGCTTTCTTTTTTCTTTTTCTTTTCTTTTCTTTTCTTCTTTTCTTTCCTTCTTTCTTCCTTCACTGCTTTCTATCGCTTTCTTCTTCCTTCTACGTTTCTTTCCTTCTTTCTTTTTCTCCCTTGTCTGCTTTCTATCGTTCTCTTCTTCCTTCGCCTTCTTCCTTCCTTCTCTTTATTCTTTCTTTTTCTCTCTCCTCTGTCTGCTTCCTATCGTTTTCTACTTTCTTTTTCTTTTCTTTTCTTTTTCTTTTTTTCTTCTTTCTTCCTTCACTGCTTTCTATCGCTTTCTTCTTCCTTCTACGTTTCTTTCCTTCTTTCTTTTTTCTCCTTGTCTGCTTTCTATCTTTTCTCTTCTTCCTTCGCCTTCTTCCTTCCTTCTCTTTATTCTTTTCTTTTTCTCTCTCCTCTGTCTGCTTCCTATCATTTTTTCTTTTCTTTTTTTTTTTCTTTTCTTTTCTTTTTTTTTTCCTTCTTTCTTCCTTCACTGCTTTCTATTCTCTTTCTTCTTCCTTCTATTTTTCTTTCCTTCTTTCTTTTTCTCCCTTGTCTGCTTTCTATTTTTTTTTCTTCTTCCTTTCTTTCCTTCTTCCTTCCTTCTCTTTATTCTTTCTTTTTCTCTCTCCTCTGTCTCCTTCCTATCGTTTTCTCTACTTTTTTTTTTTTCTTTTCTTTTTTTTCTTTTCTTTTTTCCTTCTTTCTTCCTTCACTGCTTTCTTTCTTCTTTCATTTCTTTCCTTCTTCTTTTTTTCCCTTTCCTTTCTTTCATTCTTCTTTTCTCCTTCTTTGTCTGCTTTCTTTTTCGTTCTCTTCTTCTATCATTTTCTTTCTTTTCTTTTCTTTTTCTCTTTTTTTTTTTTTTTTTCCTCTCTATCCTTTCTTCTTCTTCTTCGTTTTCTTTCCTTTTTCTTTTTCCCTTTTTCTTTTTTCTTTTCTTTTCTTCTTCTTTCTCTTTTTCTTTTCTTTTCTTCCTCTGTCTGCTTCCTTTTGTTTTTCGCTTTCTTTTCTTTTCTTTTCTTTTCTTTTTTCTTTCCTTCTTTCTTTTCTTTTTCTATCCTTTCTTCTTCTTCTTTCTTTCCTTCTTTTTTCTTCTTCCTATCATTCCTTCTTCCTTCCTTCTCTTTATTCTCTTTCTTTATTTTCTCTCTCTGCTTCCTCTGTCTACTTTTCTTTTTCATTTTTTCCTTCTTTTCTTCCTTCACTTTTCTTTTTCTTTTCTTTTCTTTCTTCTTTTCTTTCTTTTTTTCTTTTTCTCTTCTTCTTTCTCTTTCTATCTTTTCTTTTTTCTTCTTCCTTCTATCGTTTCTTTCCTTCTTTCTTTTTTTTCTCCTTGTCTGCTTTCTATCGCTTCCTTTCTTCCTTCCTTCTTCCTTCCTTCTTTTATTCTTTCTTTTTCTCTCCTCTGTCTGCTTCCTATCATTTTCTACTTTCTTTTTTTTCTTTTCTTTTCTTTTTCTTTTTTCTTTTCTTCCTTCTTGCTTTCTATCCTTTCTTCTTTCCTTTACGTTTCTTTCCTTCTTTTTTTTCTCCCTTGTCTGCTTTTCTATCGTTTTCTTCTTTCTTCTTCTTCCTTCCTTCTCTTTATTCTTTCTTTTTTTCTCTCCTCTGTCTGCTTCCTATCGTTTTTTTCTTCTTTTCTTTTTTCTTTTCTTTCTTTTCTTTTTTTCTTCTTTCTTCCTTCTTTTCTTCTTTTCTATCTTCTTCTTTCTTTTCTTCTTCTTTTTTTCTATCGTTTCTTTCCTTCTTTTTCTTTTTCTTTCTTGTCTGCTTTCTATCGTTCTCTTCTTCGTTTTCGCCTTCTTCCTTCCTTCTCTTTTTTCTTTTTTTTCTCTCCTCTGTCTCTACTTCCTATCATTTCTCTTTCTTTTTTTTTTCTTTTTTTTTCTTTTCTTTTCTTCTTTCTTCCTTTCTTCTTTCTCTCTTTTTTTTCTTCCTTCTTTTTTTTCTTTCCTTCTTTCTTTTCTTTTTCTTGTCTTCTTTCTTTCCTTCTCTTCTTCCTTCTACCATCCTTCCTTCTCTTTTCTTTCTTTTTCTCTCTCCTCTGTCTTCCTTTCTATTTCTTTCTTTTTCTTCTTCCTTTCTTTTTTCTTTCTTTTCTTTTCTTCTTTCCTTCTTTCTTCCTATCCTTTCTTCTTCCTTTTTTCTTTTTCTTTTTTTTCCTTCTTTCATTTCTTTTCTTTCTTTCTTAATTTCTTTCTTTCTCTCTTTCTTCTTCCTTCTCTTCTTCCTTCTTTCTTTTTCTTCTTTCTTTTCTTCTTTTCTTTCCTTCCTTTCTTTTTCTTTCTTTTTCTTTCTTTCTTTCTCCCTTTCTTCCTTTCTTTTCTTTTTTCTCCTTCTTCCTTCTTTCTTTTATTCTTTTCTTCTTTCTTCCTATCATTTTCTTTTCTTTCTTCTTTCTTTTCTTCTTTTCTTGTCTTCTTTCTATCCTTCTCTTCTTTCTCTTTCTTCTTTCTTCTCTTTCTTCTTTCTTTCTCTTTTTCTCTTCCTTTCTATCATTTTCTTCTTTCTTTCTTTTCTTCCTTCCTTCTCTTTTTCTTTCTTTTCTCTTCCTCTGTCTGCTTTCCTATCGTTTTTCTCTTCTTTTTTCTTTTCTTTCTTTCTTCTTTTCTTTTTTCTTTCTTTGTCTTCTTTCATTCTTTCATTTCTTCTTCTTTCTTTTCTCTTTCTGCTTTTCTTTCTTTCTTCTCTTCTTTTTCTTTTGTTCTCTTCTTTTCCTTTTACCTTTTTTTTTTTCTTTTCTTTCTTTTTCTTTCCTCGTTTCTTTTACTCTTTCTCTTTCTTCTTCCTCCTATTTTCTTTCCTTTTTCTTTTTCTCCTTGTTCTTTTCTTTCGTTCCCTTCTTCCTTCCTTCATTTTCTTCCTTTTCTTTTCTCTTTCTTTCTTTCTCTTTCTTTTTTTCCTATCGTTTTTCTTTCTTTTCTTCTTTTCTTTCTTTTCTTTTCTTCTTTTCTTTTCCTTCTTTTCTTCTTTTTCTTCTTTGTTTTTTCTTCTTCCTTCCTTTCTCTTCTTTTCTTTTCTTTTTCTCTTTTTCTTTTATTTGTCCGTTTTACTTTCTATCATTTCTCTTTCTTTTTCTTTTTCTTCCTCTTTTTTTATTCTTTCTTCTTTTCTCTCCTTTTCTTTTTTCTTTTTTCCTTCTCTTTTTCTTTTCTATCTTCCTTTTGCCCTTCAATTTCCTTCTTTTCCTTCTTTCCTTTTCTGCTTTCTCTCATTTTCTTTTTCCTCTTTTCTTTTCGCCATTTTTTAACTCTTCTAATTCTCTGCAAAACTTTCTTCTTTTTTCTAACGTTTTCTTTCTTTAATCAATTTTAGTATTCTTGTCCGTTTTATTATGTGTCTGTATTTCACATATCTTCCTTTTTTTCTTTCTTTCTTCTGTTTTTTCTTTCTATTTCTTTCTTCTTCCTTCTTTCTTTTTCTTTTTCTTTCTTTCCTTTTTCTTTCTCGTCTGCTTTATTCTCATTTTTTCTTTTCCTCTTCTCTTTCTTCTTCTTTCTCTTCTCTCTTTTCTATTCCTCTTTCTTCCTTATTTTTCTCTTTTTCTTTCTTCTTTCTCTCTTTCATTCTCTTCCCTTTTTTTCTTCCTTCTCTCTCTTCTTCTTTTCTGCCTTATTTTTTCATTTTCTTTTTTCTTCTTCTCTTTTTCTTTCGCCATTCTCTTCTTTTTTCTTCTTCCTTCTTCCTTTACTTTTTTTTCTTTCTCTTTCATTTCTTGTCCAGTTTTTATATCAGTCTCTTCTTCCTTCTCCTTTTTTCTTTCTTTCTTCTCTGCTTTCTATTGCTTTCTTCTTCCTTCTAACGTTTCTTTCTTTCGCTTTTTCTTTCTCGTCTGCTTTATATCATTCTCTTTTCCTCCTCCTATTCTCTTTCTTCTCTGCTTTCTATTGCTTTCTTCTTCCTTCTACATTTCTTTCTTTCTCTCTTTCATTCTTGTCCGTTTTATATCAGTCTCTTCTTCTTTCTCCTATTTTCTTTCTTTCTTCTCTGCTTTCTATTGCTTTCTTCTTCCTTCTAACGTTTCTTTCTTTCTCTCTTTCATTCTTGTCCGTTTTATATCAGTCTCTTATTCCTTCTCCTATTTTCTTTCTTTCTTCTCTGCTTTCTATTGCTTTCTTCTTCCTTCTAACGTTTCTTTCTTTCGCTTTTTCTTTCTCGTCTGCTTTATATCATTCTCTTTTCCTCCTCCTATTCTCTTTCTTCTCTGCTTTCTATTGCTTTCTTCTTCCTTCTAACATTTCTTTCTTTCTCTCTTTCATTCTTGTCCGTTTTATATCAGTCTCTTATTCCTTCTCCTATTTTCTTTCTTTCTTCTCTGCTTTCTATTGCTTTCTTCTTCCTTCTTACATTTCTTTCTTTCTCTCTTTTTCTTGTCCGTTTCCTATCTATTCTCTTCTTCTCTTCTCCTATTCTTTTCTTTCTTCCTTCTAACTTTCTTTATTGCTTTCTTCTCGTCGCTTTTCTTTCTTTCTCTCTTTTATACAGGTTCTGGGCTTTTTTTGGACCGAACCTTCTGGCTCAAAAAACCCACGTTAAACTCGGCCTTGTGCCCATTTTATATGCTTTTCTCTCTATTTGGGGGGGTGGCTTAGATACCGAATCAAGCCAGCTTCTTGGCTTGACGGTCAGACTCTCTGCCTCCTGAGCAGAGGAAGCAATTTCTTAGCTCCGCCGATCAGTTGAGCCTCGTTCTTTCCTTTTCTTTCCCGAATCTGTTTTTACTGTTTCTACGGGCATTTTTTGGCCGAGCCCTACGGGCTTTCTTTCTCTCTTAAAAACTCGTCATTTTTGCCACATCCTTCCCTCGTCGGTGGTTTTCTTCTCTGTAAGTAAATATCGAATCCGAGTCGAGCCGATTTAGTTGACTCTCAAACCAGACAGCAGTCCCTCTAACACCTTCACATCTTGCTTTATTATTTCGTGTAATATACGTTCGTTATTTCTACTCTTGTGTTCGTGTTGTTCTTCCTTGGTCCTAACCTGCACCATAACAATTTCAAAGCAGGAAAATATAAACTTTAAGCAAAATGGTCAGAATATATGAGAACAAAAATATGGCATCAGCTTAAATGAAAGAAATGTAACAATTTTTTTTATGAGGTCATGATAAAAAAATATAACGTCATTTTTGTCTCAAAGAGTATCAGAATAAATAATATAATAATAAACTGTAAGTTTGGGAAGAGAAAATTTCAATGAAATATGCCTGAAAATTTCCAAGTTTTCATCTTATATCTATAATTCTCGTCCCTGGGCTGGTGGTATCACGGCTATTTCCAAAAGCTTAGACCTTCTTAGACCTTTCTTCTCGACCTGCTTTTCTTCTTCCTTATGACCAGCTAAGACCAGCTTTTCTTGGACCAGCGGCCCGAGGAAAACATTCAGGTCCCCACATTTAAAACTGACCTTGTGTCTTTCTTCTGACTCATATCTATCTATGTATTTATCTGGATAGATATTGTTTTTCGGGTCCCGTACTTTATAACTACAGAATGAACTCTTCCTAACACTATTTCTTTACTTACGCCTCTCAAGAGAGGGTTTTAATCGATTCAGCCGATGGTAGTTCACTCCAAACCAGACTGACAGTCATACTAACACCTTCCACATCTTGTATTATTATTTTCTGTAATATACCTTCGTTATTTCTACTCTTGTGTTCGTGTTGTTCTTCCTTCCTTCTAACCTGGACCATAACACTTTTAAAGGCACGGACAGAGGATCCTTTCTTTGCGACATCTTGATTCTCTTGATTAAATGGATTTAGATCAGGGCTTGGGAGAAATAACAATTTCAAAACTTATTAAAATCTACTTTGTCTGAGGAAGATGTGGAGGGCCATGGTCGTCTACATCCTGAAGTGACACGGCACATAAAAAAAAGAAGTTTCTCATGGGTGGGTATAACATTCTAAAATTTTATCAAGATCTAAGATGATGCCTACAGGAATTACCGAGAGATCGTTTGAGTTGGTATAACATACCACTATTCAGCTTTACGACCATGATCGCAAATTGGTATGTCTGGCCGCGTGGTTACAACCGCTCTGTTCACTGGGGGAGGGAAGGGGTGGTATTTCCCGTGTTGGGACTCGACAATTTCCGCCCCCTCTTTTTCTTTTCTTTTTCTTTTTCCTCTGTTTAATTTATCTCGACTGAATGAGCTCCTTGCAGATTTTGAAAGAACGGGCCCTAATATCAGACGACTTGCGCTGATCGACCAGATGGCACACGTGAAGTTTCGTCCATATCGTCAAGGCTATGAGGAGAAAAACAAACAATTCAGACAAAGCTCACCATGTTTCTAAAAAAAAAAAAAAGAACTCCAGCAGCTACTCCTTAATCTTTCCCAACCTGACAATACCGACGATACACAACGAAACACCAGCACCTAAAAAGTTCTGTATTTCTAAGAATGTTAGTTTTCTAAGCGTAGCTTAGATGTGGCACAAGGCCGAAAGTATAGGGCAATCAGTGAGGATCGAACTCACCATTCGGTTGCAATGATTCTTCTTTTCTTTTCATTTTCTGCAATTACACCATATTGAGGTGCCTTTGATTTTCTACGTAGCCTCGATGTAGCGCGTAGCCTTGATGTGGCGCATGGCCTCGATGTAGCGCATAGCCTCGATGTGGCACGAGGCCTTTTCTTGGAGGAGAACTTTCTTGGCTCAAGGCTTTCTCTTCTTTTCTTTCCTTTAAGGATCGAACTCGCCACTCAGTTATCATAATTCTAGCGTGACAAGCTTGCTAACCATTACACTACGTTTTCTTTTATGTCTATGTTTTGCAACTAAAATGTTTTTTGCTTTTTGTGCCTGTATTTTTTTGTTTTTTTGTGCCTGTATTTTTTTTTTTAATATTTAGCACTGCTTTAAACAAATTTTCCTTCTTTCTCGTTCTTTTCTCCTTGTTCTCTATCGTTCTTACAGCAGGCGAACGGAAATTAAAAAAACTTTTCTTTTCTATCTGAGTTTGTACAAATGCTATCAAACATGAAGAAACCGTAAAAATTATTTTAAAAATACAATCTTGGCTAAAAAAGATAAAAAAGAAGATTCTTAAAATTTCTTTTAATTTCTTTCCAGATCTTCTTACGAAGAAATCTCGTCGTAATCATTTCTTTCTTCTTCGTAAGTCGACGATAACTTGTATAAATTCCTCTTTTGCCTCATTTCTTTTCTTTTCTTTTCCTCTTTTCTTTTTTTTCCTGTTTACAAAATCGTCTCTCTTACTTTCTGACCTTCTTTCTCCTGCCTTCTTTTCTTTCCTCTTTTCCTTGCTTTCTTTCTCTCCAATTATTCCTTCTTATACTCCATTGTCTCTATTTCTTTACTCACAATGTTTCTTTTCTTCTCATCCTTGCTTCTCTTCTTTCGTTCTGACTTTTCCTTTCTCCAATTCTCCAGATGCTCCTTCTCTTTCTTTTTTTTTTTTATCTTTCCTTCTCACTTCAAATTTCTCTGACGGGCCTGGTTCTTTTAGGGTGGTTTCTCTCCCTCTGGAATACCAGGCGCTGTAAGCTTGGATGTGCGGGTGGTGTAATGGAAAACGGCTCGGAATGAGAAATAAAAGTTAAGCAACGTCGAGCATGGTCAGTTTTTAAATGGGTGACCTATCATTTGGGAATACCAGGCTTCTGAGAAAAAGCTTGGATGTGCGGGTGATGTATGGATAACGGCTCGGAATGAGAAATAGAAGTTAAGCAACATCATTGGACAGTTCTAAATGGGTGACAGCTTTTCTTTACTTCAGGCTTTTTTCTCCTTGATGTGCTTTGGTGTTCTCTTAACGGCTCTTCTTCCTTCCCTTCTTTTTATTCGTTGGACAGTTCCTAAATGGGTGTCAGCTTGGGAATACCAGGCGCTGTTTCTTGGATTTTCTTTTCTGTAAAGGATAACGGCTCTTTCTTTGAGAAATTGAAGCTTAAGCTTTCAACATTCTTCTGGACAGTTCTTTAAATGGGTTTCAGCTTGGGAATACCAGGCGCTGTCTTCTTGATGTGCCTTCTTCCTTAAAGGATAACGGTTCGGAATTCTCATTTTCTTAAAAGCAACATCGAGTCTGGACTTTTCTTTTCTAAATTCTTTTTTTTCATTTCTTTCCAGGCGCTTTTTCTCCTTTCTCTCTTGCTTTCTTGGATAAGCTCCTTTCTTCTTTTTATTAAAGGATAGCTTCTTTCGGCTATTCTTTGGAAATAGATCTAAGGATAAGTTAAGCAACGTTTTCTTTTCTTTTCTTGGTTCATTTTAGATGGGTGACCGCATGGGAATACCAGGCGCTGTAAGCTTGGATGTGCGGGTGAGGTAAAGGATAACGGCTCGGAATGAGAAATAGAAGTTAAGCAACGTCGAGCATGGTCAGTACCTAGATGGGTGACTTTCTTGGGATGCCAGGTGATTTAAGCTTTGGATTTTCTTTTCTTTTGTAATGGATAACGGCTCTTCCTTCATTGGAATCGCTTCTGCCAGGTGCTGAATTTCGGGTTTCTAATAAAACGCTTTCGGAATTTCTCTTATATTCATTCTTCTTACTTTATTCTTTCTTTCTCAAAATATCCCAACCAGCTATGGGGTTCGTTAGTATGACTTGTATCGGTAAATGATTATTAACTCAAAAAGAATCTCACAACATCTAAAAATATTTCCTGGCTTTAAATAAGCCGGGTTGATAAACCGTAAAAAACAAATCAAACAATCCTGGTTTTCTCTTTTTCTTACAAACATTATTCTCTTCACTCCTTCCTTACTTCTGTCACTCAGTCTCTATATATATATCTATCACTATTTTTCTCTTTATTTATCGTTCGCTCTTCCTCTATCTCCCCTTTTTCTTTTTGTCGTTTTTTCTTCTTCTTCTTCTTCTTCTTTTTTTTTTTTTTCTCTTTCTTCTCCCCCTTCTTTGTTTGCTTTCTATTATCTAATAACTTCTTTTTTTTTCCTTCTTTCTCTATATTCTTCTTTTCTCTCTTCTTTTTCTTCATTCTCTTTCTTCCTCCTCCGTCTTTCTCTTTTCTCTATGCTTCTCTATCGTTTTTTTCTTCTTTCTGCTTTTCTTTACATCTTTCTTTCTATTCTTTCTCATTCTCTCTCTCTCTCTCCCTCCTATCGTTTTCTACTTTCTTCTTCTTTTCCCGCCTTCATTCTTTCTATTCTTTCTCTTTCTTTCTCCTCTGTTTGCTTCCTATCGTTTTTTTTTTTTGGTTTTTTTTTCCTTCTTTTCTCCTTCTTTTCCTTCCGTCTTTCTCTTCCTTCCTTTTCTACTTGCTATTGTTTTCTTTTCCCTTCTACTTTTCTTTTCTTCTTTCTTTCTATTCTTACTCTTTCTCTCTCCTCTGTCTGCTTTCTATCTTTTTCTACTTCTTCGTTTCTTCCTTGTCTGCTTTCTATCGTTTTCTTCTTCCTTCTTTTTTTCTTCCTACTTGCTATTTCTCTGTGTTTTTCTTTTTCCCTATAGATTTTTTTTCCTTTTTATTGTAAATTATTCAATTTTTCTTTGTCAAATTTTCCTTTTTGCCACACCACCGTTTTCCAAATATCAAATTATTTTCTTTTGAAAATAAAATCAAAACTTACGAAAAAAAAAAAAAAAAAAAAGAACGTCTTTCTCAAAATTAAAACATGCAACGCAATGTTTTAGAAATTCTTGAGAAACAAAATTTAAATTAATTTATTTACTCATTTTCTGTTTAGTCCATTTTTTTTCCGAACTGACGAAAAAAATGTCCCTGTAAAAGTTTTCTAAATAAATTATTTTCAGTAGTACTCACGATTTAATTTTATTATATATATATATATATATATATATATATATATATATATATATATATATATATATATATTGAAAATATTAGTGGAAAATATACACATACATATGCAAAATATATAAATGGAATAAATTATGACCATGGAATATTAGTGTTTTAAGCCATTTTATTATATATCTATATATATATATATATATATATATTAAGACATTTTTTGTGTTTATACGTTCTTTTTATAGATACAAATATTTAAGTAAATGGTCTGTTTATAATAAACTGTGTTAACGACATTTACCGGCCTGAATGTCCGAAAAATTTTCATAAAAAATATGCGTCCTTAAAATAATTGTCGGACTTTGTCCATTTCATATTGTGTGACCTCATTTGTTTACGTTTGGATACGCATCGAGCAGATATTATGTACGAGACAAAATCATGTAGAATTGTAGTTTAAAAAAAGTAAAATCGACCTTTCTAACCGAAACGCTCCTCTGTGGCGAAATCGGTAAAAGCACGTCAGGCTATATGACGGTTCCGTATAGGATACAGGTTCGATTTCTATCGGAAGACGCATATTTTCGATGAAAATTTCTCGGACATTCAGGCCGGTAAATGTCGTTAATACTGTTTATTATAAACAGAGCATTTATTTAAATATTTGTATAAAAAGAACGTATAAACATAAAAAAAATGTCTTAAAATAATTGTCGGACTTTGTTATGTTATGGGAACTTACCTTTAACGATAATGGACTCTTCCTGACACTTATAGTGGGTCAGCCAATTTGTATTGGTTATAAATAGAAATAAAAATGACCCTCTACAATTTTTACAATATCAAAATGTAACAAAGACAACAACAAAAGAAATAATCAAGTAGAAATAAAAAGAAAGCAAACAAGACCGATAATATATGTATATACAAATATATATTAATAACAAGTTACAATACATGGAAACAGTACAAAGGACGAAGTGTGTGTGAATATTCTGTATGTGCGTGCGTCAATGTATATTAACTTAGCGTGTTTCACGCTATCCCTAATTAGCGACTACATTTCGAGTTTGATAGCTGAAAATTCTCTAGGAATAAGAGTTTACCTCAAAGGTGTCAGTGCACAGGCCTGAAGGAAAAAGTTATTAAGGGTCAGCAGCTATTTATAGCCAGGGAAGTGTAACCCCTGGTGAAAGGGTTAACAGGTGAGCAGGGTTAACTCCGACACACTATAAATACTGCGCCTCTCAAGAGGTATAATGAATGAATGGTGTAACGACGACACCAGGTCATGACTGTTGAACTCTCTGCTTTGGCAGAGAGGAACCCAGACGAAGCTTTGCCGAAGGGCAAGGTTTCGTCCAGGGAGGTAGACAGCCCTGAACGCGTCTAGGCGGGTTCAAAGGTATACAGGCCGAGCCTACGGGCTCGGAGAAACTCACTTTAATCTCGGCCTCGTGTCACATATATTCCTCGTGGGTGGGATATTAAATACAATGAATGGTGTAACGAATCGAAACAATATTAGTTCACTCTAAACCAGACGGACAGTCATTACAAACACCTTCAGCTTCTTGTACTATATTTCTGTTGTAATATATCTTTGTTATTCTACTCTTGTGTTCGTGTTGTTCTTCCTTGGTTCTAACCTTGTACCATAACTGTGGTGTAAGAATACTGAACCATGACAATATATATATATATATATATATATATATATATATATATATTAGTGAATATACTGTAGGATCTTCCTCAACAAACCAGCCTTACCTCTTTTTAGGAAATGCACTCTTCCTATCTGGTAAGTAACAGCCTACTTCCATACATTATAAAAAGTATTCATTGGTCAATGACCTCCAATCTTGCTTGTTGATTGGTCAGTTCCGACCAATCAAACCGCCTGCACGAGACCAATTTGTTTTTCCCGCGTTCTCCGTTTGAGCCTCCCACGTGGTACATGGCCATTATATAAACCCAACACGTGTGAACTTTTTGAGTAGTAGTTTTTCATTCATCTCTCTCGCACGTCTCATACCTTGCTACCAAGTGCCAAGATGTAACCTTCACCAACTCCCGTCTTAGTCTTGGCTGACCAGACGTTAAAGACAATTACCAACATTCACGAACTCTGAAATCACTCCTGAACTTTTATCAACTTTAAACTCACAATTCCAAACTTTATTCTTCTAAATTACAAGTTTAATATTACTTCTTCTTAATATGAACTCCGGTACAACTAATACCTAATCAAAGGGACACGACTCTGTCCTACCTTTTCAGTTCGCTTGCATGTACATCAAACATTAATAATTGCTATGTTTTGGAAACATTCCGTTCAGTTTTGTATTTTATACTATGTGCTATTTACGTCAAATATAAATTGCATTGCATCCACGCATTGTCCTTAATCCCACCTTTCCTAGCCAAAGTTAAATATCGTTAACTCTATCAACATATATTGATGACCACGACGTTCGTCGTTCAACGTTCACAACAACAACGGTAATACAACCATCACACATATTGGTGATTCCGTCAGGAACAAATAATTATGGTACCCTATCACTACAATACATAATATCCAACGTTGGTAGCACAACTCGGAGTTACATGCATTTTTTGCATTCCTCAGGTGCGGAATATAATCTGACCGTGACAGAGTTCACGTTCTCGTCGTGATGATTCGTAATTGTCTGCTAAAACTTGTTTCTTTAATTGTTGTTGCGTAAAATATTAAAACAGACTATTGATAATTTATATCATTCAAATTCTTCAGTTCGAAAGGCGAAGAATTCAAAAAATAAGAATAAATTTTAAAATTTAAAGTTGGATTCAAAAAGTAAACAATATATCAAGGGGAATAACTCTCATTTTTTTTTTACATAAAAATACACTATGCCAATTAACTTAAACATAGGGTGGAAATATAAAATAAGGGTGCGAATACAAAAAAAAATAAAAGGTCGGGACTATATGTCGAATGTGTTTGGAAAGGTGAAGTTATATATATATACACACACGTTATAAATTAATCGTGTACAGTATATGTTTTTAAGCATTTCACCCCAAGCAAGGCGTGAAGCCACTAGCACGCAAGGGGTTACATAGGGTTTGGAGCGAGAGCAGATAGGAGTGATAGAAGAAAGGATGAAGAGAAGGATAGTGGATAGATAAACGCAACTGGAGATGTCGATTGACATTACATTTGAATAGTTGGAGATTATGGCTATCAGGGGAACAGGAAAAGGGAAGGCTGTTTCACAGGCAAGAGGTGCGAGATAATGAAGCTATTGGAGTAGAAGAGACGGCTACATTTAATAGTTTCAACAGTGAAAGGCTGAGAGCGAGATGCCAGCCTCGTAGGACGCTTGAATTTATGAAGCCTGGGAACCTGGATAGTATGTGCGTATA